AACGAAGTGTAGTCTTCCATTTGGGACGTCAATGATTTCAATAAAAAAATTATTTCATTTTGTCTGAACAAAAATCTGAAATAATACCGGCAAAATAGAAAAATCTATATAAATCGCTATTTTGTCGGAGCCGGCCAAATAGCACTAAAGTGGGTTTTTTGCCGGAGCCGTTAAAATAGCACCTAAGAGAGGCTATTTTGCCGGCTCTGACAAAATAGCCACTGACTTTTTTTAAAACGATTATATCCATGCAACTCAAATACGTTTCTAAAGATGTTCAACGTTCAGAAATATTAAGTATTACTTTGTTAATCGAATGCAACAAATTAGAAATGCTATAAAAGCTTATATTGCTGATTATCTTAACACATTGTCTGTTTAAAAAAAAAGAGAAGTTATAAAGGGGGCAATCGGAATGCATTAGTCAAATAAAAGCAGACAACACAATGAAGTAAAACGATAAGAAGTTCAACCTAAATAACACAGCATTACAAAGAAAACAAAAGAATTAGAATCACTACGGAGCCCCGCTAGAGACATGCAGAGAATAAAATATATATTGTGCAAACAACATAAAATTAATATATTGTGCGCACAGTTTAAATATATTGTGCGCACAATTTAACTATATATTGTGCGCATTATTTAAATATTTACAGAAAACAAAATAGTAAGCATCAGTAAGGAGCCCCGCTAGGGACATGCAGAAAAAATATATATTGTGCGCACAAAATTAGAAAAAACAGTTTTCACTTGACATTTACTTCATTTCATGGATCAGTGAACAAGGTTAAGTTTTCGTGATTATGTCGACATCTCAGATACTATATGCAATAGGTCCTCTTTATTTGGTTGTATGGAACGATTTTAAGGTGTACAGTCCAACTGCCAGGTGTCATCTGACCTTGACCTCATTTTCATGGTTCAGTAGTCCTGCAACGTTAACTTTTTGTGTTTTGGTCTATTTCTCGGATACTTTAAGCATTAAAGTTAAATATATTTGGTGTATGGAATGTTTGTAAGGTGCGCTTGTCTGTCTGGCAGTAATCATCTGACCTTGATCTTATGTTCATGATTCATTGGTTCATGTTATTTGATTCTTGTTTGGTCTGGTTTTCAGATATTATAAGGAACAAGTGAACTTAATTGGTTTATGGAATGATTGTAAGGTATACATATTTGTCTGTTCAATATTATCTGACCTTGACCTTATTTTCATGGTTTATTGGTCAATGTTAAATATCTCAGATTGGTCTGTTTTTCAGAAACGATAGTAAAGGTACTTGGCTGTCTGAAAGGATTTATCTCACCTTGACATCATGTATATTGAACATTAAATGTTAATTTAACATAATGTTAATTTAATGTAATGCTTGAGGTATAAACTTCCTTTTTTTTTTTAACTTTCGACATAAATTCAATTATGAACACAAGAATTAACAGGCGAGACGTTTCAGTGTGTCCACTGTTGTTTTTTCCAGTATGTCTATGCAGACTTATGTATGAGAAGTCAATTGGATGTGTATTGATTGATATTTTTTTGATAATATCCTAGACCAGGGAACATGATTTCCATTTTTTGCAATTGAATTTAAACTAGCATCCAGTACTCGAACAGCGATACTTTGTGTTTTTTTTTTTTTTTTTATTATAAGTTTTGTGCCTTTTCTTCATTTGATGAATAAATCCATTTTCAACTATTTTTAAGTTATTCATTGTTTATGCTTTTTCAGCTTTGTCACAGTTTTGTGGATGATTGCTCGTTCATAAACATGTTTAAACTATGACATTTTATGTTTGCCTGTTTCAAGTCAGGAGTCCGTAATTCAATGCTTGCATCGATACCCGTCTGTCAAATTTGTTTTCGTTGATTGTTTCTTTGTATGGGCTATGGCGGATATGTAGTTGTTTCATTGACAATCGCACCGATCGCGATTAATCGCGTCATAAGTTTTTGAATAAATGATGCACCAAAACGGACCATATTTGGAAAAAAATGAATCATAATTGTTTCGTTTGTTTTCTAAATATTCCACAGATGTATACATTTTCATTGACTTGTCCTAAATTGCTTTGTAACATTCCAGTTTCATAATGTATACGCAAAACATTCTGTAAACCTTTATCATGAAATCGATCAAAATAGATACTTTTGACCTATTGTCATCTCTCTTTTATTAATCAGAATGAAACTAAAACTTGACCTGAAACATTTTTACACAACTCTTAAAAAGTTTACATCATAATAAGCATACTGTTCTAAGTTAGGAGCCTGTTGTTCAGTGATTGTTGTTTGTTAGTGTGGTTCATAGGTGTTTCTCGTTTTGTTTTTAGATTAGACCGTTGGTTTTCCCGTTTAAATTGTTTTACAATAGTCATTTTGGGGCCCTTTATAGTTTTCTTTTTGGTGTGAGCCAACGCTCCGTGATGAAGACAGTTCTTTAACCTACAATTGTTAACTTTTAATACATTGTGACTTGGATGGCGAGTTGTCTCATTGGCACTCATATTATACGTTCTGATTTATATATGTACTTAGTTTTACCTTTATTTGATCACAACTTCATGGTGAACTTCTTAGACTGATCACACCGTCACATTTCAATAAGGAACAGTAAAGTTTGGGTCAAAACCGTACTTAAACATGATTAAACATAGTAATCTTTTAATAAAGAACTTGCACGTGTACTTAAAACAGTTTTAAGTCGATTTGACTTACTTTTCACTTTTACAATGATAACTTCAGAGAAACCATAGAATTTATTTAAGTTGATGACACTACAACTTCATCAAAAACTACTATGACCAAAACATCTATCCTCAAACGAAACGGACGGATGCAAAGGCTTTTAAATATAATGTCCATCTTATATCGTCGACGGGGCATAACAAAATCAAATTCGTGAATTGAGCAGCATGTCAGTCTTGTGTCAATCAACATAAACAAAATCTTGAGATTTGCAGACATAAAGTATAATGCATAAGCATAGATAGTAGTTTTAAAATTGTTACAAGAGAATAGGTAAAACCATATTATCAAAGTCTACATAAGTTCGATAGTGACCTCACTCTAATGCCAATTCTGTTTCAAACGGGGGCTTCGTACATCACAAACCCCAATTGCTTTATTTTCTTTATTTTAGAAAACGTTTAATCAACTATGGAGTTGATTCAATGATGTAAGGATATTTAAAAAACAATACTTATAATATGCGTAAAAAAAGTGAACAAGAATAAACTGTCTCGGATTTTTCCTTGAAAAGGATCCGGAGTGACCTTTTCAATGTTCTAGCTAGTATCACAGTTTAGGAAATATGTTTTCATAAATGTATGTTCCATCTGACTATTTGCAGATACACGATATTTAACCAGAAGCTTTAAATTTTGGTAAAAGTTAAGGCACCTTTAATATAAAAAATAAGGAGATGTGGTATGATTGCCAATGAGACAATTATCAAACTACCAAAGTTCAAATGAAATGGAGGCAATTGTACGGCCTTCGACAATGAGAAAAACCCATACCGTATAGTCGGCTATAAAAGGCCCCGAGATATGAACTTCAGTCAAAAAAGTATTAATAAAATTTCCGAACCAGGATAAATTCAAAAAGTGGGAAGACCATAATATCCGACAAAATCATATGCTAGACTACATCAACCAACGGAACAAATGGAAACTGACATAATCCTGACTTGGTTTTCCAAAGAAAATGCTGTATTAAACGTGGGTTCATAGATAGCCAAACCTCCCACTTCTGTGAAAGTTTTTTAACTACTGTTGCCTCTTATTTGATCAATTCGGATTTGCAATGCATCGTGTCTTTCATAAAGAAAACCATTTCACAGACTCAAAGGCAATTACACATAAGTAAAGTTGCAAACGACACCAAGCATAAACAGCAGTAAATAGTTTACTATGTGCCTAAATATGGTCGTATTAATTCATTGCTTCGACAATTTTATGGACGCCATCAACAGTTGGTTGACCGTTATGGAATATCTGTTTCACAAAACTAGATAGATATTAGTATGTTCCAATCATCGTAATCACAACCCCATCTTCTTTCATCGAATGTGACCTACCGAATTACACTTATCACCAGGTTTGTACTTACATGGGCAACACGAAAGGTGCGACATGTGGAGCAGGATCTTCTTTCCTTCCGGCGCACCTGAGATCACTCCCGGTTTTTATTTTGGTTTGTTTTGCTCAGTCTTTAGTTTTCTATGTTGTGTTTTGTATAAAGTTGTTTGTCTTTTAATCGTTTTTCGTTTTTGCCATAGCATTGTCAATCAAGGAATCCGGATCAAGAATGTATATTCCAGACCCAATCGACTAATACATTGTAATACGTTATTAATACATTTTTATACATGGTAATACATTTTTTATACATTGTAATACATTTTAATACATTGTAATACATTTTAATATATTGTAATACATTTTTAAATACTAAGGATGTTCTTCACCACACAAAAAGCGCTTCGGATGCATGCAATTTATAACTTGTGATTTTTCAGTTGTTTTTTTATATAATATAGCGTCAGATACCCATAAGCAATAATGCTGGTACATTATTACGTGCGATTTTAATTTGTTTAATACGCATTATACATCAATTTACACAAAACTAGATATAAAATAAAATTAATTTATGTGTAGCTTTCGTTACTGTTTTGTGACAATTAAATCGAGTTTATCAGTGGACTTCAAAGAAACAATTGTAATCCTTAGAGAAAGTTTTGCCTTCAGATTGAGTCTTATGTAGACGAAACGCGGGCATGGCGTACCAAAGTATAAAGCTGGTATCTTTGATGTATTTTTACCTATTATTTAAAAAAATGGAAAAAGGTTGTTGTCAAATTTATGATTTTTCATTCTTGCTTAATGTCCTGGGATAATTAACATGCAAATTTAGGAACTAAGAAAAATCATCTGTCTACATAAAATTAAAGGCTTGACCATTTTTTTTTTAAGTTAAGTGTAATTTTATTTATATAATCTTTATAACATCTCACTTCGTCTGTAAATGAATCACAAGTGAAATTTCATCGACAATGACTTATAATAAAGAACATGTGTTCTCAGGATGCATGTCTTTATCAGAGGAACACTGGAATGTCTTATGGAAGAAATCACTGTTTTTAAGCACGTGATTAATTCTGAAATGATAAATCAAAATTTGATTTTCATGCATGTAAGATAAAGTATATAGAATTACATTGCAATAACAAACAAAAATGTTAATAAATGAATAAATTTGCACCAAACAATTCTTTGAGGGTCACACGTAAAGTAGATACTGCCTAACCTTAAAGCGCGCATGAGTCGATTATTCTTTGCGGTTCGTTCACGTGTTGTTCCATTATTAGTTTTCTATAGGTTGCACTTTGTAAATACATCTGTTTCTCAAACCACGCCTCTTTTGGGGAGGTATAGAATATTCATAGATACTTAATTTTGTTTACATACTGGTTCCCATTTGTGATCTCTATGTTTCATCTCATAGAGACATAACTTGGGAATGTTACCAGTGAATATACATATGCATATTGTTTATATTGAAATCTGTGGTAATCCTACAGTTAAGGTAGGGGTTGTTAAGAAATTTAGTGTTAGTTTAAACTCTTAGAAGTTCGGGGCATATAAACGTTGAAAATATGCCGCACAGCCCTATATTTTGACCTTTGAAAAAAATAGTAGTGCATATGAACTTTCCATTCTAGGATATGATTTTTTTCAAACCTCATAGTAAAAGATGTACAGTTTTAGCCGTAAAAGGAGTTCCTATGGGAAATTGCATTGTCAATATTTACAGAAATGCAACCTGTAGATTTTTGTTTTCTTTTTGTGTTTTTTTCTTTACCATGGTGTTGCCTATTGTTGATTGATGGTGCTTATTTGCTTGTTTAATAATTTTACTGTTTATCTAAAACTCTTGTGGTATAATCAAAATTGCAATACATGTGGTACAACTTGAGAATAGCAAGATGAAAACAAAATTAGCCATTAAGAGAAAGATAGAAACCTTACAAAAATATGATTATATAGAAAATATTAATAAAAGAACAGACACAGGAATGATCAAACAATTTATCTACATGTATTAATATATATAATTGAAAGCTTAAAACTATTTTTTTTAAAGAATGAATTACAAAATCAAACTTGAGGAACTTTTTAAGAATATGAAATACAAGTTTCATGGATTATTCTCCTATTTCTGTACGTAATACTTACTGTTTAAAAAAATAATGCAGAAGTTGCCTTTGTTTCATATAAAGAAATACCTCGTCTGAATAATGATAAGTCCTTTCCGGTATTGTATATTATAAGATAATAAACATCGCTGGAAGTCAACAATGCAATTTCTCTACTTTCTTTTTCATGTTTACCAGCATGGTCACCTCATGTTTATAAAATATTCTACAGAAACACCAAATGAACTAGAGATGTGATCTAGTGATCACAGATGCCCTCGCGTGCACAACTTAGAGATCAAGATTTTGTTTCTATAGAAGCATACTGCGAAATGTCATAAGGTATAATAATTTTGCCTTTGTTCAAATGCAGTGTATATAATTTTTTTCTGTATACTCTTTAATATCCTTTGATGACTAATTGTGTTCAATTCTATAAATACGATGAAATTAGGGAATGTTGACCATGGAAACAGATGACCTGAACGATGTCTTTTCTTTATTTCAATTCGAGTCTGTGATGAATACTGATAATTATACAAATAAATGCAGTTTTAGTTCTATTTGTCATTTGCCTAACAGTCAAATACAGCTCTTGGTGTTCTTTGTCATTTGCCTAACAGTCAAATACAGTTCTTAATGTTATTTGGCATTTGCGTAACAGTCAAATAAAGTTCTGTGTGTTATTTGCAATTTGTGTAACAGTCAAATTACACTCACATGATCCAAAACAAAATGCCACAAACAACGTTTGCTATTTAGAATCATTAATAATTATTTTGTCATATTCCTTGTTTTTATTTCTTACATCCGCGTGCAAAGATCATACAGAAAACATGTAAAATCTAATGAAATTGTATTGATCAAACAAAAGGATATTTTGAATGACTAAATTTGAAGCATCTGAGATGGCGCTGAATATATGAAACAGCATGTAATACTGATTTTTTATTCTAGATACACACTGTAAATTCCGAGAGTTGACTGGGGTTTAGAAATATGGTCATCAGTCGGCAGTACACCCCATACTAAAGTGGCTAGTCCGTTTGACTGTACAAGGCGTATCAATACGTACGCAGCCACTTTAATTCCGATACCTCCAGAAAGGTCAACCACAATCTCTACACATTAAAACAAAAACTTGCAACAATTGTTTAGGAGTCCTGGTACAAGACAAAATTTAGGCCACTATATAACAGGTCCTCTTTTTTTACAGTAGCAGTAGAGATTTCTGCCATTCAGTATGGCCGACCCACTTTGCAGAACTAACTACAAAGAGTTCTGCTAAATTAGATATTCTGTTTAGGTCCCTTTTGGTCCGATTTCTCCTAACGTTTCTATTGGTACGTATTCATGCATCCCTGGCGTTAAGATGTTTTGGATTGAACGATACGAACGCACGAAATTTATAAATTCCTTCCAGTGCACATATATTCGCGATCGGATCCTGTACTGAGTAACATACAGATACAGAAAGTGTTACTTTCATTTCAATGGTGTATCTCTTCAGCGTCATGTATCCCATTACAAAGAATTCAAATCCATGTGTTTTTATTTCTAAGTATTGAATATATCTTACCTATTTTTACTCATTGATGGTGTACCTCCGTATGGAACTTCACAAAAATTCTTAATAAAGAAAAGAATTTATATATAACATGGAGAGGAAATCCGATTATAATATTCTACCCCACTTTTTTATTTGTACATGATGATCATATCAAATTTAAACTCTTGTATCTCACCAAAACATGTTTTTGTTCGAAACTGACATGAAGTAGTAGCTAAACAGTCAATATTTACATAATAGTTATTGAAAAACCGGTCATTGTCGTGATATATGGATTGCCCAAAGGATAGTGGTATTGACTAAGACAGCGATAATGACTGAGCCGTAGGCGAGGTCATTATCGCTGTTGCAGTCAATACCACTGTCCTACGGGCAGTCCATGTATCACAATAATGACCAGTTCATCAATAACTATATACAATTATGGCCCGTTGAAAAGGTGAATATCCAAAATTGTCAACACGAGAAGGTTATTTCACTGAGGGCGCAGCCCGAAGTGAAATAACTTTTAAGGGTTGACAATTTTGGATATTCATCGCTTCTAAGGGGCCACAATTGTTTTATTATACCGAACTAACAGTGGAAGGGCATTTTGAATCATTGTAAAAGCACTTACCCTTACTTGAGTCAGTAACAAACACAAGTTGACGTTCAAAAATACATGTAATTTGTGTTTTAGAATTCTCGTATGTACAACAAAGGTAGATTCTTTTTGTAAGATATTGATGGCCCTGAAAAAGACCGTTCTTAGAGATATCATCGGCACAAGATGCATGTCAAAAGCCTTATTTTCTCTTCTCTCGATAAATGGGCTTCCTGTAACTTGAACGTTGCCATTTTGTTTATTTACGTTTGTGACGTCATTTTCATGAGTACAAATCAACAAACTAAAAAAGTTATTCGCCGGTGAATAATAGGGTTATTCAACGCTGGTGTAAATTTTTAGGGTTATTCGTTCTTCCTTGCAATTGAATGAAAATTAACTGAATTATTCCATGTCACGTGATAACGTTTTACCCAATAGAATTGTTTGAAATATATGTAAGGTATAATAATAATGTTTATTTCATTGAGAAACCATGTTTTTAAACATTCTCATAAATTCAAATTGTTCAAAACAAACTCGAGTTATTGTACGATTTCTATAGGAAAGGGTGAAATCCAGTCATAGTGATAACTATTAGTCACTACAATTCATTTAAATAAAATTTTTCAGTATATGAAAACAAAACTGATAAAGTTTTCTATAATTTTATAATTAACAAAAGCATATGGTAAACAATTCAACAACTTCAATATAAAATTAAAATCAGGAAAATGTTTTATTAAAGGGACATCTCTCTAAACAGAGAAACCACGCCCCACCGGTCATTAACATGTAAAAGTCTGTTAACGACCGGTTTTCCGGTCCGTTTTTTTCTGTTAAAGACCGATCGAAATTATTACTGAAGAATAAAGAATGCCATGTGGCACCTTGTCATCCAATAAGAGAAGCTAATTCTTAACCAATATGAAATAAACGATTTTAAAGCAGACCAATTAACATCAACATCAACATCAGAGTCCATGGCATAAATAAACCAACATATACACATGATATTTTGAACAGTATGAAAGGTATACAAAAGTTACTTCAATCATTTATGAGGGTCTGAATGGAGTTTATAGAATACAGAATAATGGACAAAAAGCGCAGAAAAAAGGACAAAACAATAAAGAATAGAGGAAAATAAGCAAACATAATAATGAATACTGAGTGAATAATGGCATGTTAAATATAAAGATTAGAGAAAAATGGACAAAATAGATAAGAGAAAAAACGTTCTTAAACTTAAAGAATAAATGAATAAAGGTTCCCCATTCATACCCTCATATATGGTGATAATATTCGTATTCGAGAGATAGAGATTATCAGAAAACAAAATGAATGAAAATACAAAAATTAAAAACAGAAACAAACAAACGAGCGACCTTCAGAAGAATTCAGAAAATTAAATGTTAAAAACTGTTTCAATATGTATGTAGAAAGAAAATCTATCAAATTTAAGAATGCCTTGACTTCATAAACAGCTTTTTAATTGTATGTACAAACTTAAATACTTACTTGTGTAAAATACAGAAGAAAGATTTTCTCCGGAGTTGCAGATAACATTGGAAGATAATATCTCTCTGTAATTGCAGATTCCAGTTGTCGTTCATATTCCTTTAAATATAATGGTTTATTATACTTCACGTTAAAATGCCATATTTTGATTGGCTAATACGAAGGTGATAATTTACTCTATCCCATGGCTGAGCGGGAGACAATTTTTTTTAATGTCACCCTCTCGTCCAGACCAATCAAAAATCGATAATTTAAAGAACAATGAATTGAATTTAGATTAAGTAATTAAAGACAATTAATGCTTAAGTTCTACGTTTTGGCTCAGATTTTATTATTTAAGGAATGACTGTAATATTTTTTCTGTCTATGAAGAAATAACATCAAAAATGTGGTGCACACTAAATAACCCGCGTAGCGTGTTATTTTAAAGTGTGCACCACATTTTTAAAGTTATTTCGAATAGACAGAAAAAATATTACAGTCATTTCTTATAATTTAATTCTAAATTCCATTTCAAACTGTAGTAAACAATGAAAAAACGTTGATGACGTCACGGTCACATGACAAAATTATGTCTATGAGCTGATAAACAAAACAACGTCAGCCAATCAGAAGATGCGTTACATCCAAAATTAAATTATTTGACTGTCAAAATAAAAAAATAAAACATCTTGCTTCACTTCTGTTGATTTTTCTAATACCTGTAACGTTGTTATGTACGTGACGCCACAGAAAATACTTTTGAACAGATATATCATGTTATGGAGGGGTATTTTTCGCAAATACCCCTCCATAACATGATATATCTGTTTAATTACGCCGAACAGATTTTGATAGAAACTCTCTGTACAGATGAAGGGGAATCTTTTTTTACTAGTAAGCTGTAATCCATAAACATGTTTAGGCATGACTTTGAGGATAAATACACCTTATCGCTATTTGTCCGCCATTACTGGACATCACACAAGTTCCCGTAAAATTTTGACGTCATAAAAGAAAATGTCTGACGCCACAATGGAAAAGTGATTGTTGTATGACGTCAAAAGTTCGAGCGGGACAGATTCTCGGGTCAAGCGGGAATAGCGATAAGGTGTATAGAGACTATCATAGTACCGCGGGAATTATATATGTACTTATACGCGTTAGCGCTGTCTTTATGTAACGTCATGGTATCTATGTGTAAACGTCATTGTCATTGCATCATTAAATCGTTCATTTGTATAGACGTCTTTTTCCACTTGATATACACAACACATTCTTCGATATACGATCACGTGATTGCTGCCGTGCAGTAGGTGTTGTCTGACAATTTTGTTTACAGTTTTCGGATTACTCAATCTTTGTTTTATCATGCCTTTAGTTGATAATTGGGATAAGGTGAGAAAGAATCCCAAAAATTTTGGCAGGAAGAGGCTCGCGAGGGTAAAAAAGGGAATATCCAAAATGGCAAATACCACGGCATAAAGGGGAATTTGAGGCATATTCACCGGCAGTGGTGAAACACAGGCAAATTCGTTTGAAATGAGGAAAAGAGGTTAGAATATGCGAAAAATACACTGGCTACCAACCAATCAAAATCCGGCACTCTTATATAAGGTGAAATTATAAATATAATTCCACCTTATGTAATAATGCTGTATTTTGATTGGATGAGAGACATGGTATTTTTCAACAATTTCTATGTATTGAGATTTTCTTTTCTCTGCCGGGGTATTTGTCATTAGGGAATTCCATGTGCCGGGGAATTTGCTAGCAAATACCATGGCAGATGGGGAATACCATGTCTAAAAATAACCCAATTCTACTAATAGGACAAATTTATGGCCATTCTTAATATACGATTCCAAGTGAAATATTTAGGTTAAAAAAAACATCATTATTGAATTTGGAGCGAATGACGTAAAAATTCCGCGAACCTGTACTTTTAATGACGTCATAAATAAATCTCAACAGAAAAGCATTGTCAACCGGACCGGGTCATAAACATAAACTGGAATCCGCTTGTATTACGCTTCACTCAAACTGATGAAGAAAGTGTAGCAGTCAGTCTAGAACCAGCTTATCATAAACAGGGAGATATATATACGGTCAATGACTGTACATAAACAATTATTAGAAATGATTATACGGCCAATGCAATTTGACTGCGCAAATAGCACAGCTGCAGTATATATACAAAAATTATACATTCAAGTAGAAACTCCGTATGATACCTGATTACAATGAACTTTCTGAGGTCAAGATGGATACAAAGAACATTCGGTGTAATTAAACAATTATATCATGCTTATACAAGGGGTATTTGCCAACAATACCGGTTTCGAGGTAATCAAATTTCCCTCGCCTAACGGCTCTGGAAATTTGTACCTCTCAACCGGTATTTTTGGCAAATACCCCTTGTAAGCATGATATATTTGTATAAAATTCATCAATAAAAGACAATAACGATAGGACATTCAGTATAATAAATTAAATAACACATAGCTGAGAGGGTGATAGAGCAGATTGGTACCCCTCGAAAAAACATTGTCACCTTGGCTTCGCCGCGGTTGACAATGTTTTCTCGGGATAACAATCTGCTCTATAACCCTCTCAGCTATTTGTTATTTAAGTATGTTCAGTTAGAGTCAAAGGTCCAGGTTTTAACCCCCAACGGAGTGAGACTATGTGCGACAATACGGTAAGTTAGTCCTGCTTTGCATGCATCCTACATAAAACTATTAAGTAATAGTAAGTTATTGTCGAAGCAGGGAAGATGGCCAAACACACCAATGATATAATATTGGCATAAATAAATGATTTGGATATTTAAGAAGTTAAAATGTCACTATTGGGGAGGAGCTCACGGGATGTTGTAAGGTCCACTAATGTATGATTGTAATTAAAGAACTTGACAAGTGATACTTTAAAACTTTCTGGCTTTAATCTTACTATAGCTTTTATTAAACAATATACACGAACATATTGAGATTTGTTGGTTGCTGTATGCTTAACGCCAGTTGTGAATATTGGATACATATTAAGGGACTGAGCAAACACGGAGTCTCTACCATATATTACAGTGAGCATATGTCCCTCTAGCAACTGTGTATAATAAGAAAAACGGTACTCACAAAATATTAATATGAATCAGGTAGCTTTATATCGGTGAAAAATATAAATTTTCTATTTGCTTCCCTTAGAACGCAAATGTGTTTTGCTTGAATATATATATCCTTTTCACACTTCAACATGACAACCGTCCCGTGTATGAATTTTATAATATTTTGTTGAATTTAATTTTGAGCGCATCACTACATGAATTTTACCTGATAGATGAGTTGAAGTGCTCCGTCTGTATTCATTACTTCTCCTGTACTTGAACGGATGTTGCTCTGCAATTTCAATGTGTATGTAACATATAAATGATAAGCTAAAGTACCTATAAAGGAGAGGCTATGAGGGAGATGGATTCAAAATATCTTGCATAATATTGGGTTTGGAACCAAACGAAAAAAAATGGTTCACAATTAGCATAAAAACAAAATGACTCATTAAGCAATCGTATTTATAAAAACTCACCTAAACGCGCAGTAGAAAACATTTTGATTTAAAAAAAATAAAAATGTTAGACTGGCCTTTTTGGTTCTCTAGTGATATCTGGTCAATATTTCTCATTATTTTGTATATTTATTTATGAATATATCCATCTTTGTTCAGAAAGTAAGTCAAATTACTAATAAAGATGAAAACATATATTTAGGTGTTCGGTGGTGTTCGGCGGTGTACAGTGGTATTCCGTGGTGAAAAGACCTACCGAAATTATACAAATTTCAAAAGGTTTCTCCTTAATCTTGCGTCAATGAAACAAATATCAAACGTTCTGAAATTGAAATATCTTACATTAATGTCTGATGAAAGTTGATTGTCAAAACAAGTCCATGTGTCGAGAAAAAATGAGGAAGATGATGAACTCCACCATGATTCTGCTAAAGCTATATCCATGGAACCTGTAAATAAATTAATTATTTGATAATTTTCTATGTAGAAACAAACTACCCAGTTAAAAATGTGTTTATATATCTTAAGAAGTCACAATCAATATTGTTATGTGTTCACTTTTGGGCATGTTTCTACAAGACCTACACGTTTGGACATTTTTCCTCAAAATAAAAGCAACTCCAAGATTCCAGGACGTATTATATTGAGGTTAGGTTCTGTTCAGATGTTAGATTGACATACACTAGAGAAATGTTGTAAGTTAAATGAATATGAATATTAACCATCGTTTTACTAGACCGACACGCTGAGCCGGATTTTTAACGAACTAGATCACAAGGTAACAGTCCGCAGGAAGACATGTCACCTTACCCGGACACATTATTCTGACTCCGAGCCGACCAGTCTTTACTCTTACTCCTTAATGCCGCGAGCTTAGCGGAGAAGCAGCAAATACCAATTTTAAAGTCTTTGGTTTGACCCGATCGGGGTTTCGAACCCACGACCTCCCGCACTCGAGGCGAACACGCTACCACATGACCATTCATCTGAGTTCCAGTCTTAATATTGACAGATGTAACCTTACCATATAATGCCTTTACAATGTTCGATGCTATGCTAAATCCTACACTTGTTAAGATAGGGAATAAGGGCTTTTTTTCAACCGTCAAAGAGGTTAGTCCAAGTGGCAGCTCTGGAAAAATAAATTAAACATTTTAGTATAAGAAATAAAATTTACAAAAAGACATTTTTTTTTTTAAATTCAATGAAAAGACTTTCGGAATATTTTCTTTGTGATCTTCATCTCTGACGATATTAATTGTTTTTATCAATTATATCTGATTCATTAATTTTCAAATTTAGAGTTTTTATTTAACTAATTCAACAAAAATTTTAGAATATAAAAGAATACAATGACGACAAAAAGTTAGTACATGTATATAAAAAATCATAGGAAATCCAATTTCCAGGTATAATTTTCAGTTGTCACTAAAGATAGGCAGACAGCATATAAGCTGGGAGGGGAGGGGGATTTTTAACTGATCGTTTCAGCATTTCTATGCTTACTTTTGCTTGATGAATTTAGATGCAAATAAATTAAGAGGAACGGATATACTGGGCAAGAGAAAACATCCAAATATAAATGTTTTTGATATATAATTTTCATAAATAGCAAACAAATATTTCAAACCACACTTTTTTGTGAAATTATAGTTTTCATGTTTTATCAATAAAGATTTACCTATTATATTGAACCTATCGTTATACTGAGGTCTGAGATCTGACCATTCAATCACTGCTGATTTCGTTGATTTTCCCAGTTTTGTCATGTCTTCATTGAATCGTTTCTTCAGACATTCAGTTGCAGAAAGAAGAAATGATATGGAAGGTGTTAATTTGAATGCTAGATCGATGTTTGGTAATGGTACTACCTCTGCTTGAAGTGAAGACAATTTATTATAGAGTGACAGTTTAGTCTCTTTGCTGATGTCTGTGGAATTGTCTATATTAAATTTTATAATATTTGTTATATTATCAATCATAAATTTTGTGTCGTCTATTCCATCAGCTATACCGCTCGACATCTTTACGGAATACTCCGTATGTAATTCAGAATTCAAAAGGTCAAAGGTGAAATTGACACAACTCAACCAATCATATCGCTCTTGTCTGATATCACTAAAATACAAATAAGTCCGCTTATCATATGGAAGGTATTCCCATAATCCTCGAATGATTACTGTTACCAGCTCATATAATTTTATAATATCCGTGCTTGTATCTGCGATAAGTCTATCCAAACCATAGAAATAAGTTGGATGTGTAATCTTGACTGGTGTGTTCGGTTTTACATCTTGGAATATATCTGTCCAATTCAATGAAGGGTACCTAATTTGCAGGTCACTAAACTGTATATTGCTACTACTTGCCTGGCTATCAATATTGCTAGAAGGGATGATCTGGAATTTAACATATAAAATACGTTCAATTATGAATACATGTGAGAGTATGCTGACTATGGCCACCCTCTCAGAGCACTTGATATCATACTAGAGTATTGTGAGAGTTCGTAATCCTTAAGATAGTAACTAAAAAAGTATATGTCCAAGTGTCTGAATAATAACTTAAGCATAGCCATAGAACTTTATCTTGTTTATCTTGAGATCAGCTGATTTACAATACAAATGTAAATTAGATCACATAATGTGTGATGCTTATAGATTACCGTTGGTCATCTCAACGAAATTGATTTTCTCGCTTGAGCCGGTACGGCGAAAGAGAGAAAAGCAATCGAGTTGAGATGACCAATGATTAATCTGTTTATCGTTATTTTACCTATGACGACGTTGTTAATTTCATTGACAACGGCAAGTGTGCCCTTAGTTTATCGCGATAATTTTTCATATCACTCTACTGTGCTGAGAAAGGAAATTAACAGTCAGTAAGATCAAAGGAAAATTTCGTAAAATAGCGATAATTACAATTATCGACTTCTTGTATCCTGTCTCATTTTGAGCGAACTTCAAATTTGATTGTCCATGTAACACAGTCGCTCTTATATTTAATATAGCTTAATAATTTTCGAATTTACTAACATGGCTTTTCTTGCTACACTATTTGTTCGGAACTTCCCACGTAGAAGGTACACAATTTTATAGGGCATATATACAGTAATGCTTATTTAGATGGACATCAAAAGATATCAACTTCCTAATGAAGTACTTTTGATACATGTAGTTGTTTAAATCCTCGTTCTTTGGTCTCTGATGGGTAGTTGTATCTTTGGCAATCATATCACATCTCCTTGTCTGTATATACATTGAAATTTATAAAAACATGTTTTTTTCTTTAATTGACGTTTTGGGCCAGAACGGCAAACGGAGACTATCATGGCGGCGTCCAAATTTTTTCTCTTTTACGTTACTGAATGATTTCCTTTCTTCTTACACTAGTCTAGTTTTGTGTGTATGAAAATAAGAAGATGTGGTATGATTGCCGATGAGACAACACTCTACAAGAGACCAAAAAGACACAAAAATTTAACAACTATTTTAAAGGTCACCGTACGTCGTGGTTTTATTTCTAACGTTTCTAAAATTATTGCACCATTTTACTATAATGATCGCAATAACATTTGCGACATCATACGTTCCGGTAACAATGAGTAATGCTCGAGAAGATAGGAAGTTGATTCTAGATTTTATGTACATAAATAGTGAGGTGTCGAAACATCTTTATTTCAGACAGATTTCTAATCTTTTTTATGCAAAAAATCAAACACGCTATTGTACCTGATGTAGCTGCCTTTCGAATGTGAAGACATCGAGCAATTTTGATCTTGCAGTAGCATATACGGATTGGCCTTCATCCTCTGAAATTTGTTAAAATCACAGTAAAAAAAGTCCAATAGTAATATTTTTTCAATGAACTGCTTGAGTATATAACTTGTTTCTTTAATGTAAACTCATCCATATTGATCTTTTATTTTACATAGTTTAAATCAAAGTATTGTGATCACGTTGGTTGTTTCTATTGTGACAGCTAGGGTGATATGTGATGTTGCTGTCCATCAGAGGACCATTGGTCTATGTTATCAAGCCCTTACTTTTATAATTGCTACTTGACTGTAAAATTCAATTCAAATAGAGATATTAAAATTTTGAACAGAGGAAATAACTATTGGGATTTTAAATATGTTACAAATCATTTTATAAAAAATATTTCTTGTTATTGTCCTTTATTTTCGATTTCACCCGTTTCCGGTTATTGTCTAAAAAAAATAGTGGAACAACGAAAAACGACATTTTTGTATATCATATGTCTACATATCAGTAAAAAATCTATTCAGACATTTCAACCTAGTGAATCAGGGTTTTTTTTTTAAATGTTAACACTAATGTTGTCGTTTTCTAATTCCATATCAAATAAATTCCTTCAACTGATGCTATGATGCCAAACTATTAAAGTTAACTCAAAGACCATTCAGATTAATGTCGCAAATCTTTTCTTTCTAGCTACGCTTAACTTTATTTAAAACATGCTTTATTATATTGCTAGTGATCAGTAAAATTCCGTAATTTCTCTTCCAAAAAAAATCCGTGTACATGTTTATCATTATTTGATTGATTTCAATCTGTGTTGTGATAAAGAATTGCCGTGGTCAAATATGTAACAGTATAGCACATGGCTCGCACATGAAAACTATAATTACGTACATTTATGAATAAAGAATTGCCGTGCTCAAATATGCAACAGTATAGCACATGGCTCGCACATGAAAATTTATATGACGTACATTTATGAATAAATGTGTTGTTCGTGTGTTCACTGTAATATATTGTTCATATTCGAATTCCGCAAGTAGTGTTATGATCATTTGGTTTAGATACAACTAACAGGTTAATATGCACCTGCCTTCATAACAAACCGCGAACGACATGACACTATACGGGTCAATTTTCTCATTGGTCTTCCCATTTGATAGATACCGGGTGTTTTAGATGCATACCAATCGCTCTCATGACAGTGCGTTTGTCAATTTGAATTGGTGTACACGTACCACAAAAAATGTAACACGCAATATTATCGTACGATAAGTTCTATATATATAAAAAAATTTAACGAATGGTATTGAGTTGTGCTAGCCTTGTATGAATAATTCAATAATACTAAGTTGTGTTATCACTGCCAGTGTGCAAGATTTATCAAGTTCTGATATCTCTGTGTAAGTATGATATATTGTTCTACACTCGCAGTTATGTAGTTAGTTTTGTAAAGCTTTATATAACTGGTCGAGTCAAACCAGACTTGAAAATTGGTATTTGCTGCTTCTCAACCTTTCACGCGACATTTAGGAGTAAGAGTTATTTTTCATGTCGCATTATCAAGTTTTCGTCATGAAATGTAACTGGACGTTAAGCATCAATCCATCATCTTCAAGTTGTATATTTCTGGTATATGTGTCAAATACGTCTAAACAATACAAGTATTAACTCACCGTAGTAATAATCATCTTGTAACAACTTCCGGCCAATAATCTCTGGTCTTTTATTTTGTCCCCCGTCATCAAAATAATCAAAGTCGTCATTTACCATAGCTACATCCCTGCGCCGTCTGAATTCATTAGATCCGGCAGAGTCTGTACCATAAATGGAATCAAGTACAGTAGGAACACGGTGCAAATAATCCAGTCCATCCTTGTTATAAAATCAAATCATTATTTTAATTATAGTAGGTCTCAATCGTCTTTTTTAACATGATAGGTACAAACTTATTGATAGTACATTTTTAGCTACAGAGTTATTCTTCGTATATCAACAGCGGTCTCTGTTTTACGTTTACGTTAAATCGGCATTAAATACGATTTCGGCAGTACAAGTTGAAAAAAAATGTATTTCTTTGCAAACATGTACATGAACGGAATATTCAATATTGAATAATAATTATATATTAGCAGTCAGTTTGTTCATTTTTTGTCAAAATGAGCCTTAAAACTTCGCTGATACAGTATTGTCTTGCGAGACGGTTATTTTGATCCTTATGACTTCGAATTGTTATTGTGACCTTTGTTGGAGGTGATCGCATATGTCCTCAGCATATTCAGTTTTGAAAACGAATTTCAGGTGAAAAGTGATAAAAGATTAGCCAACTTTCGTTCTTCAATAAATCATAGTTTACATCTTCATACACATTAAACTGTTTTCTAGCCAATGAATTCTTGCTCTTACTCTTAAATGTGTGCTTTCACGAGAATCAGAAAAAAAAGAAAAAAAACAGATATTTGGTTTGATCAGGCCGGTGAACAAACCCTCCACCTCCCAAAACCAAGCCAACAACGATACCACAGAACCACAGAGGTAGTAGTTCATTTAAGAATTGACTACTTCTTTTTGTAAATTTATTTGGGTGTAAAAGCGTTGAGCGAAGTACATTTTGTATGAAGCGCGGAAGCGCTTCATTCTAAAAATGTGTGCACGGTCAACGCATTTACAACCCTATAAAATTACTAAAAGAAGCATTCAATACTTATAATTACATTTTTTTGCTAGGACCATGAAAACACGATTTCTATCAAGTTTTTCTTTTATTTACTTATGCCCTTTATTGTGGAAGCTCCTGTCATCATGAATGTTACATTTCATTTTGAAATAAAGGTTAATTTCAGAAAGACGCGAGATTGCTGTTAGCCAATCAAAATAACGTATTATAATGAAACATACATGTAATGTAATTATAATATAATGATGTACGAATACTTACAATTGTTTCATCAATATTACCATCATAAATATCACGACGCAGATACATTGAAGGTGGGATTAGCTACAAAAGAATAACAAAAAATCGTTCTTGTATGACAGACAGACTAAGTTAGAAAATCTTCATTATGTCGCTCTGGTGTTCATTAAATTATTTGCGATGTCCAAGCCAAACAAAATCATCAGCATCAATCTGTATAAACGGGTAGGTACAAGTAATGAGCTAAACTATTAAACAGAAAAACGTTATTTTCTTTGTGAAATCTTTAATCTTTTGCTCTTTTATATTTTATAAGCAAGGTTTTTTTGTAATAAATTGGTAAATTGTTTCTTTTATCCGCTTAGTTTTTGTTAAATGATATTTTTTATTCTTACATTTTTTGTGATCCTATTTACTACTTCCAATGGAAAAACAGAATTTCCAGTTTTTGATGCTGTTCAACTTTGCGTGGGATTTGGCATTCCAAATGTTTTCATTCGAGCGTTACTGTTCAGTCGCATGTAGACGAATGTAGACGAAACGCAGGTCTGGTTTACACAATTATAAACCATGTATCTTTGATGAGGTCGAACATCTTTGTGACCCAAGACAAATATACGTTATGTCTCTTTAATATCTCATTTTACTTTTTTACTTTCAAATTATAGGTAGACTTAAAAAAAAAAATTTCATTTTTTACTTCTTTATTTCTATAATACATATAACATTTTTACTTCTTGTACATAGTTTTACATGCATGCATGTTACTATGAAGGTAAATCCAGAAAAGCGCTTCGGACGCATGAATTAACAAGTTTTAATTTTTTACAGCACTGGGTTGATACCGCTGCTGATGAACTATCAGTCCCCGAGCGTATCATAAGCTGAGGAGTCAGTACTTCGATATTGCCATGATTTATAACAAATCTTTCTAAAACTGTCCGTCTATACATTTAGAAACTATACATAAACAAAGGTTTCAACTCCCTCCGGCAAAGTTGACCTTTAAGATAGATTGTTGTAGGTCCTGTTTGGTAATATAGCTCTTCAAATGTTTCGTTTCTTATACATCCAAATGTGTGGCTTTGAGCTCTCCTAATGGAGGTAATTTCATAAAAGCGCTTCGGACGCATCAAATGTATAAAATGTTGTGTTTTACTAAAAGGTCGTGAAGAGGACGTTACTCAGTTGTAATATATCTGAGCCTCTTGTCATTTTGAATAATGTAAAATGTTTAAACTAAAATAAGTGTGCAGTTACCATCAGAGTATATACAGAATCTTCCCCGTTCACAACCGGAACAGGAACCACGTCATAACGAAATAGTGGATAAGATCCAAAATAGTACATGGCAAAGTTTTGTATTTCTTCTATAGATTTTACTGTAGTCATTGCCGAATCAAACTCCAGAATTTGCAGGAAGAAACGAATTTCTGACATGACTGAAAAGACATAGTTTTTTCAATTAGGGAAAAATTCATATCCCTTGAATGTACAATGCCTGTAAGATATGATTTTCAAAGTTATCTTTGCACGAAAACCTTCAATCAACATTGTAGGAAGTTATAAAATTAAATCAAACTGTTTTAAATTAGAACCAAAAATAAATAATAAATGCAAAAACATATCTTTTTCTCTTACAAAAACAAAAACAAAAACACAGAAAAAATTGAAGTCCAGATCAATCTTAAACTTATCACCGAATTTGTACTTTCAATGTACCATGGTCAACACGACGATTGCGATAACAGGTAATAAGCTTTTTACCTTTCCGGAGCACCTATAAGATCACCCCCGAGCAAAGTTTTTTGGGGTTCTTGTTGTTCAGTCGTAAGTTTTTTAGTATTGTTTTGTGGACTTGTTTGTCTTTTCATCGACTTTCGGTTTTTCCCCATGGCGTTGTCAGTTTCTCTTCGACTTATGAGTTTTATATCCCCTTGGTATCTTTCACCTCTTTTTTTCTGTTGTTTCAAATGGTTTTTTAGTGTATTTTGAGCTATCAAAAACACATATGGGCTTCTTACCAGCAATGTCGTCAAAAACAGAATCTTTGCTCAAACAAGCAGAATATAACTGCTTAAGGTTCCTGGAATATGATGGATCCCCTTCTAAAATGGGTAGTTCTAATATATCTACAAATATACATGGATATAACGTTAATCCTAACATCTAAATTATACATTAATACTTGTAATCCTCTATTGTTTTCCTTAATAATATCGATTAACCAAAATCTACATGAAAATGACATGGGTAGGGGTCGAACGTAGATGCATGATAACGCATTTTTCTGTGATAAAGTTACACTTCTTTTAAATATTTAGCTTTGAGTGTTCCTGATTAAGGTTAATAAAAAAAAGCGCTTCGGACGCATAAAATTGATAGTGTTTTTTTCATTTTTTAAACACTGGTTCCCGAGGGTATCATCGGCTCAGTTAACAGTGCTTCGGTACTGATATGATTTATGACAAACCTTTCTTAAATTCTCCGTTGATAAATTACTTTTATGTCCTTTTGGTCGTATAGTTCTTCATTAGCATGGTTCGATATTTATCCATCCGGCTTTCCAATTTTTGCCATGAGAGTTCCGGATGAAGGTAAATCTAGAAAAGCGCTTCGGACGCATAAAATTGATGCTATTTTCATTTTACAAAATTTACATTCTTCGTTACTCAAAAAGATTCTATATGTATAATTATAAAAATCTATAGTGTATAATTATGCAAATAATATTCTGATTCAGAACTTTATTATTAAAAGATCTTAAAACTATTCCTTTGATATTCAAATTCTCAATCTGGTTTTTTTTTTTAAGATTTGACAATTGCTCTCTCTATAATTATTCCAATACTCTGGAAATTCGTATATAGTTTCTAGTTTTTATCTTAGATTTTTATTTTAAATTTGCCTGTTATTATCTATTATACCTTCTTATAAATTGCGAATATTCAAATAGGAGAATCGTAAAAATAACATGTACACCAAAGCTGATACATAGAAGACTTTAACGAGTTGCAATTATTACCGTGCACGTGACGAACTTAACATTTTTTTAAACCCTTTAAATCTTAGCTAGAAATAAATCAACGCAAATTCATGAACTATAAAAAAAATGATATGGCATGATTGCCAATGATACAACCCTCCACCAGAGACAAAATGACGTAGAAGGTTAGCAACTATAGGTCACCTTACGGCCTTCTACAATGAGCAAAACCCATATAGCATAGCAAGCTTTAAAAGGCCACAAAATGACAAATGTACATATCCAACGGAGAAAAAAAATTATCGTAGAATTAACGCAAAGGGTTTATAAAAAAGCAAATATAAGAGTAACGTCATATTTTACTTCAGCTTGAATAAAAATTACACTACACTGAAATAGAATCTTCACGTCACCATACTCAATGTACTGTGTTAAAATCTCCGATTAAGCCGACGAAGTAAGGCATCGCGTGATTAAAGTATTAACAAAATCTATGAAGATAGCCTAATTGGTGGTATAGGGCGTTGGAAATAGTACAGAAGGTGTTGAGTACGATAGTAAATCAGATTGACGGTATAATTACACCTTATGTAAGAATCCTGGGATTTGATTGGTTGATAGCCAGTGTATTTTTCACCAATTTACTGTTATCAAATGAATATCGTTCATTTTTTTAACGCCGCCGGGGTATATGCAAAAAGGATATGCCTTTTTTACCCTCTCTGCCATGGTATTTGCCAAAAAATACTCTATCCGACTGGACGCTTGTAACGTCACGATCATCAATGCATTTTTGAACGTTAACATTCGGTGTAATTAAACAGATATAGCATGTTCTTGAGGGGTATTTGCGAAAAATACCCCTCCTTAACTTGATATATCTGTTCACAAATCTCCTGACTTTGCATATATATTCTATTTACAATACCTTTGATTTTCGAATGAAACTCTGTCTTCTTATCCTCCTCAACGGATCTTCTCCATGGATCTATAAATCCTTCATCGATGGCTTGTTCCCTTGCATTTACCCAACTGCCACAGGCATACTCGTAAAAATCGCTGCACTCATCTGCAGATTGATTAATATATCCATACATATTGTAAGCTAAAGTCGAGCAATAATTAGAATTGCATAATGTGCCGTCACGTTCTGTACTTGACTCTATCTCTTTTTGTGTAGTGATCTCCGTAGTTTCGGTTATAACTGTTGTCACCTTTGAATATGTTGTTGTAAGCTGGGTAGCTGTTACATTTTGTTTAGATGTAGTTCTAATTGGCTCAAGAGTAGTAGAAATTGGCTTAGGAGTTGTAGTGGTTGGCTTAGGAGTGGTAGTAGTTGGATCCGGGGTGGTAGTAGTTAGCATAGGAGTGGAAGTGACTGGCACAGGCTTGGTAGTAGTTGCCCGAAGAGTGGTAGTAGTTGCCTGAAGAGTAGTAGTAGGCTTAGAAGTGGTAGTAGTTGGTTGAAGAGTGGTAGTAGGCTTAGGAGTTGTAGTGGTTGGCTGAGGAGTGGTAGTAGGCTTAGGAGTGGTAGTGGTTGGCTGAGGAGTGGTAGTAGTTGGTTGAAGAGTGGTTGTAGGCTTAGGAGTGGTAGTGGTTGGCTGGGGAGTGGTAGTGGTTGGCTGAGGAGTGATAGTAGGCATAAGAGTTGTAGAGGTTGGCTGATAATTGGTAGTAGTTGTCTGAGCAGTGGTAGTGGTTGGCTGGGGAGGAGTAGTAGGCTTAGGGGTGGTAGTAGTTGACTGAGGAGTAGTATTAGGCTTAGAAGTGAAAGTAGTTGGCTGAGGAGTGGTAGTAGGCATAGGAGTGGTGGTGATTGGCTGAGGAATGGTAGAAGTTGACTGAGGAGTTGTAGTGGTTGGCTTAGGAGTCGCAGTGGTTGGCTGTTTAGTGGTAGTAGTTGGTTGAAGAGTGGAAGTAACTGACTGGGGAGTAGTAATAGGTGCTATAGAAATGGTAGTAGTTAGTGTAGAAGTGGAAGTGGTTGGTTTACGAGTGGTAAAAATAGTTTGCTTTGAAGAGGTAGTAGTTAGCTGCTTAGTAGTTCGCGGAGGAGTAGATGTGGTAGTAGGTGTTTTAATTTTTATGAACAAAGTTGTCGATATTTCAGTCAGTCTCTTCGTAGACAGTAGGGAAGATGAGGGTAATATTCCTATTGATTTTTGAGTATAAGTATCTCCTGTAGAACCATCCTGAAATTTCAACAGAAAAGAAAATTGCAAAAAAAAACAAATCAAAGTTGGAATTTTGCTTCAATAAATTTGATATAAATATTAAGACTGCGAAGATCAGCGACGAATAACGTTTTCTGTTTAATGCGTGCATTTACCATTATCATCAATATTGCGACATTAATGGCAATCAATTAAGACGTTTTTCAAATATGAACATAAAATGACACTGATTGTACTAATTTCATTTTCTAACTGAACTATTGGTTATACTTATCCATACTTCACCCGGAAAATGTACTATTCCGTAATATTTATAGCAATTGCCATGTTCTGTATATGAATAAGGCATGCATGGAGGGTCTAATAATCAGTGGTTTTGTCAATTAACATGTATAAAAATAAGAAGATGTGGTATGATTGCCAATTCGCGCAACTCTCCACCAGAGACCAAATGACATAGAAGTTTACAACTATAGGTCAAAGTACGGCTTTCAACAATGAGTAAAACACATACTGCATAATCAGCGAGTAAAGGCCCCAAAATGATAAATGTAAAACAATTCAAACGAGAAAACTAACGGCCTGTTTCACATGTATTTTGTTATTGCGCGGCCTTTTATAGCTAACTAAACATTGAAAGGTTCTTGCTCTTTGATGGTAACCTGCAGTTGTTTAAATCCTCATCTTTTGATCCTAGGTGGATGGTTGTCTCCATAGCAACACACTACATCTCCTTCTTTTATAAATACATATTGTGGATTTATTATTATTCGTTGGATACCAATTTTCGTAGATTTCGTTGTTTAAAGGTAAACCACAAATTTGAATGTTCAACGAAGTACACATGTTCTTTTACCTTGCAGATTGATACATAACCAGGACATCAAATATCCACGAAAATACAAAGTTCCTTCAATCCACGAAAATTCGTATCAACGAAAATAAATGAAACCACAGTATTCAGGACAAAGGATGTAATATTAGTGAGTATTCATTACTGCAAATATTACCCTGTCACATATATCATGTATATCCTGACATGCATGTTTCGCATAAATATACGTGTAGCATCAATAATTATCGGCATTGGAAAATTGTTGTTAACTTAGTGTCCAGTGGCAAATATTTCATACATATTCAGGATGAGATCATATTAACAATTACTAAAATAGAAAAATTTTGCATTTGTAGTTCGACCGGAATAATGGTTGGAAAATTTAGACTGTGCCACTGAGGAAATAGGGAAGGTTGGATAAGAACATTTGCCTTGCAGCAGACCTTCTACGGACCCTCATAGTGTTGTTGAATAGGTTTTTAGACGTACGGAGAGGGTACCACTATCCCTACACTAATCATCGGATTTACGTACAGATTCTTACCGGACGTGGTTGCATATTTATACATCCCTCACAACCAAATGAACTCCACTCATTAGCAGAGTTAACTGCCCGGAGGGAGAGGTCAAGTAGACAATATTTCTATACACCAGTCGAACCTATGGGTTGAACACTTCACCAAAGGAGACAAGAGTGAAAATTATATCAACAGCGACAAAAGAAAATAACAAACAGCAGGACGTTACAAAATGAAGTCATAGAAGTGTGTTTTACAGGGATACATTATTAGAAAAGTTTCGAATCAAGAAATGCATGGTACATAATCATTATGCGACTGATTTCTAATCATCAAACAAACAAAGTATTGACAATTTATAATTAAACTGAAAACTATCAATAATGGTAGTGACTCACTGACACAGATGAAACTTCTCAAAAGACCGTGCCTTTTAAAGTAGTCTTTGTAGCCAACAAAATCTATAAATAGGAAGATGTGGTATGATTATCAATGAGACAACTCTCCATCAAGGACCAAATGACGTAGAAGTTAACATTTATAAGTCACTGTATGGACTTCAACAATGAGCAAAACCCATACCGCATAATAAGCTATAAAAGGCCCCGAAATGACAAATGTAAAAAGGTTCAAACGAGGAAACTAACGGCCTTATTTATGTAAAAAAGTATAAAAGAAAACAAATATGATATACAGCAACAAACAAAGACCACAGAATTACAGGCTCCTGACTTGGGACAGTCACATACAGAATGTGGCGGGGTTAAATATGTTTGCTATCGCCAAGCCTTCGTCCTAACTTGGGACAGTGGTGTAACAGTACAACATACGAAAAAACTATAAAAATCAGTTGAAAAGGGCTTAACTCATCAAATCGATACAAAGCAGAAAAACATCTAACAAAAATACTGACTGGACGAGGCAAGGAATTTATACGACCCCTGGTTATTTTGCTTCAATAAGAATACTTACCACATTAATATTGTCGATTGATTTATTTATATCCTTTAATGAAGCAACCATGACACCAATCACAATTAACATAATCAAAACTGCAATGGCCAAATACATCGATGTTCCGACAAGAAATCTTTCTGCTATGGTGCAGCCGCCAGATTTCTTAGGTATTGCATAGTCCTGTTCGCTTTTCAGTGACAATAAAGCACGGCTGTTTGACGGTGGTGGGTACCTAAATGTATCGATAGTCTTCGGGCTGTCTAAATTCGGCTCGAAACTTTCAGTCTGGGTCAAATATCGCTGAACTTTGTCTAACGTTACAGCCGTTCGTGGTGTAACGGCAAGCGATTTGTCTATCCGAGGAGTGTTCACACTTAGCGGATTGGTGTTCGTTGACGATGGGATTGCTCTTATAGCTATATCTCTGATGTCTTTAAAGTAGCCATTAAATGGGTAGTCGCTAAATTTTCGAATATCACCGTCCCATAATCCATCTTGATCGCGTTTGTTTACATCATGCGATTGACGATTTGGCCAATTTTTCCACCAGCGCCGACCTCCGTCACCGCTTTTATCATACTGAAACCACATATCATTTTAGAATATGTATAATACAATTCTTCAAATAATACGATCCATTTTGTAAATTTTAGCGGTTAATTTTTGACATGTTGGAGGTGATCGAGTTATAGTTAAATGTTACTTGAGTCGTTTTTTTGTGTTGGATTAACTGGATCAATAGATTAAGGACTAGCTTGTAACAGTTTATTGAATTAAAATATTTAATAACATTTATAGTAAATTTATATTTAAATTTTACGAGTTGTATAATGCAGTTTGGTTTAATTAAAAGTGCATGTTATAATACAGATTTATCATTTGGTTTTGATCATTAGTGCATGTTCATTATCTAATATTTCATTTTCTTGTATAATGGAAAACTAATTCATTCCCGACAACCTTAGACTAAAGTGATCTGACGACAAAATTTATATCTTTTTAATTAGCACTGGTGGATCCCGGGGGCTGGGGCCTCTGATAGCTAAATATATGTTATTTTCGAACATTTGCTGAATTTTTTACTGCGTGATCCCATAATGTTTTTGATATCCTTGTTCTGCCATTGACATGATTGAGAAGTACGTGTAAAATGCGATTAATTTTATAACTTGTTGGTGATCTACGTACTAAAAGTTATTGAGTCATTTAGTAGTGCTCTGTGTTATTACACTAATAGGCTTTTATCTCTGGCATGACAATTTTTTGTATTCGGTTGTTTACAGCTTTGTAGCAATATATATTAATCAAGAGTCTTCTTTGGAAACATTGTATGTATTCCGCCTGTCGAATCTAATTGATTAATTACAATTATATTACTTCTTTCATGGAAACGAATAAGTCACGGTATTGATTTGGGAAGCTAGAAAGGATAATAATGATGAAAAATGAATGCAAAGTGTATAACTAATGATACTGTAAAAGATTATGTACAGGTTATGATCATTCCGTTGAAGGAATATTATATATCATGTGTGAATATATAAAACCAAACTGAAAACTCTTACATTGAAACGAGAAACCCCCCGAAATATGATCTATAATGGCTCTTTTTCCCGTGCTGTCGTCTTGAATGATATTTTGCAATTTGTAACTATCTGACTGCAATAAATGGACCTTATCACAATATTTATGAATTTTTCAATTAGCTGGTGAAAATTTATTTTTAATATTAAAGGAGCATTATCTGTCAAATTCAAATTCACCGATTTTACTCAAATTCTCATATCTAATTTATAAAATATCAAAACGTTTATCCAAACATCATTACAAGAAGGTCCAAAATAAACAATATTTTTAACAAAGCATGGACTCTATAATATGTATCAGCATTTCATGTGACGCCATCTAATTAACCATCAAGATTACCTCCAGAGACTATACCGGCGGTATAACCCGATATAAACATAGATATAAAGAGATAGCCACCACGTGCAATTATATTTTTCTAGGTCTGTTAGATTTCATATTATAAGTTAAAATAATATGTCAATCATTGTTTTTACCTCTATAAGGATGCTTTTTGTGGATCGAATCAATCAGTCAACAAAATAGTTCACCCTTCTTTCGCTTTCAATGTTGACATTCTTTTCCTTTTTGAAAAAGCTGAACACGCCCAGTAGCTCTCTTTCTAATGAATTGAAGGTCACATGAGGTTTCTATGAGGTTAAATTATGGACTTGCAGCGATGTTTTAGAGCCTATTTTAACAACTTTGTGCCAAAATGACTGCTAATAACAAATTGTTATTTCAAAATTCCGTGTCTATTAATACTTGAAACTAAACGAATCGATCGTTATACAAATTTTTGTCCAAATCGTAGCTGATGCCCCTTTAAGGATGTTTGCCGCTCTGTTTCAAAATAACAAGCTTTTTAAAAGATTAAATAAATTGATAGTATATAAATAAAGAAACTAAACAAGCAGAAAAAATGAAGTGTCCGTGTGTTTGTTTTCGAGATATAAGCCATTAAAAATTTGGCGGGAAATAATTCTCTCTAGATTTTTCGAATATTTAAAAACCTTTTTTCTTTTAAAAATAATCAAATTATTGAAAGAAAAGTAGGAGTAAGTGGGCAAAATTTTTAATGGCACTACATGGATAAAACCAGAGGATTCCGAATATCTGGCAAAAATTCAAAAACAAGAGGAGCGAACATCCTTAAACCTAAGAATACGGTTGATTGTTTTGTTGTCCTTAAAGTGGAAATATGTCATGTGTATTCAGGACAAATTAAATAGTGCATCAGATGCTTGGTGTGATTTAGAGCGTGACATATATTGTATGAACACCTGTCTATTGTTGTGGACCATACATTTTAAATCTTGCATAAGGCCACGATCAGTTCCCTCAAAGAGCTGACCTGTTGCTAGGGTTCTTAAACGTGAACTCTCCCATCACGAGTTTTATTTTTTAAGGGTCCACACATGGACCTGGCTTGTTGCGTGACTTTGAATACTTTCCTACTTTGTCTCGGTTACTTCATCGTTTCAACGTTAAAAGTTTAGCGTCCATACGATGTGTCTGTGTCTACACTAACTAAGGATATGTTTTCCACGTCTTAGATTATGGTTTGCCATTTACGTCGTCTGGTCTTTTAAGTACCGAACGTGACCTATTCCCGAATATGACTGTTTTACTGAGTGTTAATTCACATTGCTATAAGACGTGTCTGACTCGGTATTTGTTTATCCAGCGTTCATGTATTTAGTTACGAAGTTTTATTTGTAATTCTGATCGGATACTGTTTTGTGTCTTATCGCTTGTAGTTGTGATTCTATCTTTTATTTTCTATTCGTATGTAAACGTAAAGATGATTAATCACCCAGTTCATTTGTATGATTTTAGTTTGAAGCAACTTTGTGCACAGGATTTATTTGTTTACACAGTCAGTTGATTTGGAAGAAAGGCCGACATAGTTAGTTGCACTATTACTAACACAATTCTATATTAATATTCTTGGAATTGTTATGAAATACATCAAATAACATAATTAGAAACCTAATCTTGATTTATATCCAATTTTTAGAAATTTGCCTGTGACGTTACTTTTTGTGGCGTTGATCCATTCGTGTTACAGACACACACTTCGTAATTCTATTAAGCTGTTTTTGTGTACTGTCCTAAATTATTTATTTAGTTATTCGTTGTTATTCTGTGGTTAGCATGCGAGATGTACTATTTTATTATTTATTTATGTATTTCTCTGTCTTTGGTGTTTTTGCATTTATTTGTACTTTGTTCCCGTCATGTGATGTTGTCATTTTAGCGGTATATTTCACATTACCATAAAGCGCGGACTCAGAGGTTTGGCTAGCTACAAAACCAGGTTCAACCCACCATTTTTTCTTAAAATGTCCTGTACCAAGTCAGGAATATGGCAGTTGTTATTTAATAGTTCGTTTCTATGAATGTTGCATTGTTGTTTGTTTTTTGTTGCACTTCTGTGTTCTGTTATTTCGTTGTTTTCCTCTTATAGTTTATGTGTTTCCCTCGGTTTTAGTTTGTAACCCGGACTTGTTTTCTC